GAGATGAATAGATTATATATAAAAAAATATTACCATCAGACTTGGAGAAGATGTGGTTCATAAAATTATAGTGGAGGAGAGGCGGCGACTGAATACAAGATGGGAGAGTGCGAGGGTGAGCCAGACATCAATGAATTACAATATCAGAAGGAGAGGAGAGGAGGGAGCCTTTAGAGGAGAGACAAGGAGAGTAGAGAAGGGTGAGGCTATAGGTGAGGCTGGGTAAGTCAGGGTGTTGTGTTGCCGTGTGACCGAGTTAATCCTCGGAGGGTCTCTGGGTTGCACAGAATTCCTAATGAGGGAGAAAGCTGCAAACAAGACCCCAAACTACTCCCGGGAATAGTAGCAAACCTCCTATCGAGGAGACTGATCTTTATCCTCTCTTCATCCTCCCCCTCTTCCTCCTCCCATCTCTGGAGGGAGCACACATTCACACACGTAGACTCTCTCATATAAGCAACAGGCGCACACTAGCGTTGAAATGTTTCAAATTAAAACAAACAAGCATCAACATGTAAAAACTTAGGGGAAATTATGAAAGCAGAGCATGAGATTATGGGCGCACACACTGAGCACACACATACTGAGCATGCACGCGCGCACACACACACACACACACACTTATCCTGAGCACACAAACACATTATCCTACCCAACCTGACCATATGAGACAATGCGAGCGCATGGGGCCAGCAGTCCATTCAATAATGGCTCAAATTGGAGGAAATGGGTTCTGAAATTACATTTTCAGAGGTTCTCATTTTAAGTGCATGACTGCAGACTCACATTCATTTCCTGTGGGACTCGGTCAAGCGTCACATCAATCAAACATCACATAGCTTCATCTTACAGCCTCTCACAAACTATAATGAGCCTAACAGGACATTTGATGAGAAAATGTTTTTAAATGCAATTGAGGAGAGGCTGTGAAGCACCTAATATAATATATCTGTTTGTACATTTACAGGAGCCCCTTGTAAATGTACAAGAGCCTAAAATATACGATCTGAAACCCTTCAGAAACTAAATAAACATGTTCAGGCTTAAAATGGCACTCACACTCATGTGAACGACATACAATGAGCAGTAGAATAAGCTTGGATCGTCCATTGTTAACATTTTAATCAGCACACGGTGATGAGTAGGAGTGCAAGGCTACAATGCATACACAATAATGTATCATGGCTATCTGGGCCACGCATCATAAATCTGTCTTATGCATTTGCCATCAGTGGTACGTGCATATAACCACTATGCATTGAAATGCGCACCATGTAAAACAGTATTATTTTGTTTCTGTGAATGAAAAGCTCTCCAAGTCAAAGGGGCCCACCCAAGCCAAGGAAGATGTGTCACACTGCTGCCATCTAGTGTTTAAGCCCAAGGAAACAATGTTTTAAAGCAACACAAACAGGCTTTCCTTATGCTGCTATACAGCCAGGAATTTTAGTATCTATTGCATTTTCTGCACTATGTATCTCCCTAACATCCAACACTCAGCTAACTATAATCCACCAAAACAATAAATGCACAAAACATGCACAGAGAGACAAAGAAAACAGGCCAGCTGTCTGTGGGACAGACTCAAGGTCTACATCATTTCATCTGATCAACATGGAGACTCAAACTCAGGGATGAGCTGATGTTTCACTGAAGGACAGACTTACTGTCGTAAGTAATGACCATGACATATCAAGATCACAATCATCTTCCCACAATAAAACTATTTAAAAACTTGTCACACATCAGTACAAAGAAAACATCCAGCACACAGGGAAAATTTGCACGTTTCATTGTTTGACTTCTATTCAGTGTAATGTTCCACTGTTTGCGTGCTTCATAATAATAGACCCATTGTACAACATCAAGTCTGGAAGTCATCTGAATAAAAGACAGTAATAAGACATGAGGATAGGATTAGTTTGTGTCGCCACCACCCAGTGGGTTGAAAAATAACTGTGGCATCATGAGATAATTTTCAGCTCTGCAAAAACATTTTTTATCTGAACTACAATTGTATTCACACATCAGTTCTCCTCATTTTACTCTAACTTTCTTGTCATGGAATAATGGATATCTGTCAGGCTACGTCCTTTGATAGATGAAATGAAAGTGTAAAATAGCACACAGTAATACAAAGGAATCTAATATACGAGGAAGCTCTGACCTCTTCTATCTCTGCTGCTGGCGTCACTGCACAGAACATTATTAAAAAAACCTCCATGATTATAAATAAGGAAACTAATTTTTCTGTCTGATTCATCTTTGCCAGGACTTTCTTCATGCTGAGTGTCATTCAATACCTTAATGTTTCATATTAGATTTAGATGTTCTGGGTGCACTGTTAATATCAGTGATAATCTAATTTGTTTAAAATAATTGCATTATGTTGTACAATAAATGATGTAATGAATTATTTATGTATAAAGGCTTCTGTCAACATGCTCCACCTGAAGAATAATAGCCGCCATTACCTGCAGCAGTGCACTTATTGGAGGTTGAGAAATGTACTATAGCAATATAAGAGGTGGAGATGTGGGGTGTGTGTGTGTGTGTGTGTGTGTGTGTGTGTGTGTGCTGTGTGTGTGTGGTGTGTGTGTGTGTGAGTGTGTGTGAGAGAGAGAAGAGAGAGAGAGAGTGAGAGTGAGAGAGAGAGAGAGAGAGAGGGAGGGTCATATCTTATCTATATTCTGTATTTGAGAATTTGTCCTGCTTTCTGTGCTGTTCTGGGTCACGACTGAGTGTGTTTATTCTGTGCAGAAGTGATTCTGATTTTTAAACCATGCAGAGACACAGTGTTATCTATGCGGCCCAGAAAGAACACTGATATCTCTATTCCCTCTGAGTGCACACACACACACACACACACACACACACACACTATGCATACACACTCACATACCAAAAACAGTCGCAAAAATGCACACACACACAAATACACACACAAAAACAGTGTGAGCACACAAAACTGCATCCTACAGAGACATGCTGACACTCACAAAGTGCAAACAGATACTGTTAAATGTACACTGTGAAACCGTGAAAGACTGTTTAAAGAGGTAGAACAAACACACACACACACACAAACATTCGTACTCTCTCAGCAGGCAGACAAACACACAAACTAACACTAATCAGCACACACCAATCCTTCCATCCTCCACACAAAGCGCACCAGCCAGAAACACAGCCAGAGCTGAACCAGTAAGAGGCAGCTCAAGAAGAGATGAGTGACACCACAGTGCACCATATCTCTCTCTCACACACACACACACACACACACATACATACAGACTCACTTAACAGAAAACTGCATTCAGTTCCCTTTGTAGAAAATGAACTGTATCTCTCACTATTTTGGCCACACATTCTGAATGCTGCCCCTCTGTGGTGCCCAGGTGTGCTGCAAGCCTCCTTACCTTTATATGAGTGTATACTGTGCAAGCCAGAATCAGAAGAAGGTTAAAGGGATCAATTACATAACTCACACAAGTTCTACCCTGTTAAATCTCACAGTCAAACACTATAATGTTAAATGTTTTAGAAGCTTTTGCACCAGACTGTCTCCACTGATCAGTTTTGTATCAAACATGCCTCTGCATGAAAGTCCCCGGGGTATATGAAACTGCTGCTCCTGCATAATATTCTGCTGATAGCTCATCATGTGTCACTATACACTTTCAAATCCTCATCATAATAGTTGATTTGGTTATAATTTAGAATCGAATCACTGTATTTGTTCAGTATCTGTTCAGCATATTGTTTATACAGTCCTGCTGGAAAAGCTGTCTTCTCAGTAATATGGTTTAACTGTAGACATACAGTTCATGAAAGTGCCACTGTTGCAAGGTAGTGACAAAAAAGCGGATGTAGTCAGAGATGTGGTGAGTGGCCTGTATCCACTTCATGCAGAACAGTCACTGTCACTTAAATGAAATGATGATGAATGAACACATTCAGGTTCTATCTATCTTCTTATCCATCTTCAGTCACACTCTCCAGGTACCCATGATGGGGTGATTCGTTAATTCTGATCAAAGATGATGGATTAGTTTACTTCGTTTTAATTCAGCAAATGAGTTTAGTGAGGACCGATATTGGTCTATCATAACAGCAGAGTAATCTGCTGTAATTATTATTAATGAGTCGTAATTAAACAACGTCAGGACGTCGCAGGGGGACGTGAGCTCAATTAATAAACGCGTCAGAGCCCAAACCGTCCTGTCTACAGCACAAATACACCGCCTCCTCCCTCTGGCGCTCTCTCATGCTGCCTTCAGGTGCTGTTGGAAATGTCTAAACCTTGGTATAACGACGCAAATGACGACCCAGAGCAGCGACAGCATGTATGAGAAATCACACTTTAGATGGGAGTTGAATTGCATGGCACACCTTAATTATTGCTGCATTTACTGTCAATACTGTTGACTCTATTTACTATTTATAACAGTAAAAAGAGCACTGTATTATCATAATGTTATTTTGACTATTAGTCAAGCTAATGTTCTACTTGGGTTGAAAACTAAAACAACCATTAAAAATATTACCATAGCCTGATATTATGTCCAATTGTATCCATTTATAGGTCGCCTGTGAAGGCTTTTAACCACTGGTGGCGCTATGAGCTATGTTTTTACAAGTGAGTCTGCATTTTGTTTGTACTGTGCTCATGCACCAAAACAAACATGCATTCACAAATAACAATAACAGTTAACAGTTGCCAGCAATCATGGCACTGTGCCCACAAAGACGGCTAGATAGTAAAACATGGCCCATTTAAAGCAATATGTCAAATGCAAATGTCTTATCAGGAAGGACATGACCTTAAAGATGCACGGTGTGTTTTGGTGAGGAACAACACGTCAACAGAACGTTTGTGTGTTTGCAAGAAAAGTCAACAAGGCTTCTTTAAATGCCGTCAAACTGGGTGCCACAAAAACAGGTTTTTCCGGGGCGCCCCTGAAGGCAGCAGTCACTCTGTACACAGCGCAGGAGATGCTTGCAGCCGCAGCTCGCTGCACTGTGCGGCCGCACCGGAACATAACAGCAAACAATGTGCAGGAAGAGAGAGACAATTGAATCTCTCCAGACAGAGTGACCGATCATGGCCAGTCGGTGGCAACAAGGTCCCCGCGGCCGCTCAGAAGTGCCCGCCGGTGGCCTAAAAACGACGCAAGTGCCCGACCAACAAGAACCGTCCGGAGAGACCGAGGACGCGGCGGAGTCGCTGCGGGAGCTGCCGCGATGGATGCGGCTTTACTTCTACGGGATGCACGGCGTGACTCTGGATGTCCTGCTCTCGTCGTTGCATGGGGTTTTGAATTATCGGGACCCTAAACTGGTGGGCTTCTCCTCTCCGTATCTCTGCATTATGCATTCACTGACCCACTTTGCGCTGGAGAAGATCTACTCACAGAAGAGGTGTTTCCGTGGTCGGCCTGTGGTGTTTCATCTTGTTTTCTACCCGTCTGTCTACATCGGGCTGCAGATCCTGATCGGGAACATCAACACTTTGACCGAGCAGGTGAGGGTGGTGTCCGGCACGCAGCTGGCAGTGCACTACATCCTGGCTCTCTATTTTGCCCAGGTGTTTCACAGAGGGCTGTCTCGGCTGCAGTATCACCCCTCCTGTCACCCCGACCCCTCCTGTCACCCCGACCCCCCCAGCGCACCCGCCCCGGAGGACAGAGGTCGCGTTCGGGGGCCTCTTCGCGGTCTCCCCGGCTTCTTGCGCTTCTTGTTCTTCGGGATGCACGGCTTCCTGGACGAAGTGATTTTCACCTCAGTTTTCAACCTCGTGGAGAAGTCTGATCGGACCATGAGCGGCCACACCTCCCTGTGGTCCTTCCTGATGTACGGGAGCTGCAGCTTCGTGGTGGAGAAGCTCTACCTTCACCTGCACTTCAGCCGGGGATGGGGGACGTGTCGGCGGCTCCCCATCTACATCTGCTTCATCTACGCCTGGGAGTTCTCCTGGGGTCTGGTCCTGAGGCAGTTCGACGCCTGCTCCTGGGACTACTCCCATTATCCTCACAACTTCATGGGACTCATCACCCTCCTCTACTTGCCGGGCTGGGTCTGCCTCAGCCTGTATCAGGACATGCTGTCTAACGTCCTGCTGAGGATCAAGTGCAGCAAAGATGTAAATGGTTTAAGTGGGGAGAATGGGGAGGTTAATGGACAGCTCGAGTCAAAGAAGCCACTCTAGGTTTGCTCTTAGAGGTTTTTAACTCCTAGGGGGGAAATCTGGCTCACATTATACAAACAAACATTAACATTAATTAACTGATTTTTCTAAAAATATACATAAATATTGCTATATTGCAAGAATTGTATCATATGGAACCAGATTGTGGTCTGGGGCTCTGGATTTGTCCACAAAGTATTGCATTACTTTGAGTCTTTGGACTGCTTTGGTCAGCAATGTGTTGCCATGACAACAGATGTTGAATATAGGATACAACATTTTCTGTAGTTAATATAGTTTTAGAAAAGTTTATGTTACCGGTTACTTTGGATATTTGGAGTCTGAACATTTGTTAACAGTATGCAGATGAGACATGTTCCAGCTGATATTCCTGGGTCCAGTAATAAAGATAAAAACACAACTGAGGACCCTGAATTGTTTACCTAACCTGATTCAATTAAGTGAACCTACTGCCATTTGTATCTGATATAAAATATAGTTGTAATATTACTATTTTACAAGTCTTCATGACTTTGCGGTGTGAATATTAAATTTTTTTAATGGCCGCAGTGGCAGACTTGTCACCTTACACGTTACATTACACTGGGGCAGGTCTGGTTTGAGTTGGATCGATTGTGTCATTAACATATGCATCAGCATGCTTTAACTGTAGCTCATATCTGCATGCTCTGAAGTACCCATTAAAGAACATCTGGAGAGTTTTGTTTCAAAAGGTTTATGATTTAAGTTTGTGCAAAATAGATATTGGCCCGTAATATTCAAAAGTCAGTATTTTCAAGGCAAAGACGAAACTGTTAACAGAGACACTATTGTTCCATTTTCTTTAGTTTTTTAGGGATGCACTCATACCGATACTAGTATCGGGTATCAAGTTAGATACCGTGCCAATGTACTCATAGTTGTAATCATAAAACCAGTCTGATAACACTTTACAGCAGCGTGATATAATCTCTTGTTGGTTGAGCATGTAGGCTGAGGATAACTTCAGCAGTTTGGAGACATTTGAAGCAACTTTTACAGCAACATTAGCACAATTTAATATGTTACAGTCAAAGTGAGGAGCATCTGATGAAAATAAAATGTGTTTTCAAAGTCATAAGAACTGTAATGATATTATTAAGTACTCATATTGGTACTCAGTATCCACAATTACTCAAATTTAAGTACTTGTACTATTTAGTTTGATAACAAGTGGTATCAGTGCATCCCTGCAGTTTTTCTCATCTCATCTCATCTTTTTATTTACTTTTTGATTGTCAATTTACTTTTTGAAACAAACTGCCAAACCGCTTGTTAATACGACCCCTGAATAATGCATGGCAACTATTAGAGTAGAGATCAACCCAGTAACACATGTAGCAAGGAGAGCTGTAGCTGAACAGAGACGAGGAGCCAAGTGAGATTTTTCTACTGTGAATCTTTCATGAACCAAACGTAACTTTTGCTGGAGTGCCTTCCCGTGCAAAATCGGAGTCAACCAGACTCAAACAAACAAGGCTTGGTGTCTTTGGGGCTCCTCTTTTTATATTTAAAGTGTTTTTGCACATTTTAATTATAAAAAATGTTTTAATCTTCATAACTAATGACCGTCTGAGGTTGCATTCGTCCCAACAGCACTGGTTCCACCGCTAAGTGACCGGTGCTGCTCGAATGTAAAAATTTCTATAAACAAACACAAACGGCGTAGGTTTCAGTATGGTTTAATTTTGGATGCATTGAACAACCTCCAACATTCTGTGCTTTCAACTTGTGTAACTGCTAATATTTACAAAAAAAGATTATCTGGTTGCATAAGTAGCTCCTGCTGGACGAGTCTGTTTAGTCATTGCTTGTTTTTGTCCTTATTTTATGAAACTTTCTTATAGCCTCCTGCTCCAAGTCTAGTCAAATTCATTTCAAAAGTACTTACTGAGTGCGTTTACCCCAAACTGATGGACATTTCATGTAAATTGCATTTCTTTGACAGACAGGCAGCCCAGAGCTGACGCCGACGTCTGTCTCAAAGACAGCATATTTAATTTAATTCCATTAATCAACTTAATATGAAGTGAATATAGTGCAGACATATTGCAAATCCAGAAGGAACAGTTTTCATTTAAATATTCCCAAAATAAACTATTGTGCATGTTCTAACACCCAAATTAGCTTTATTAGCAGTCCTATGCCTTATTAAACTAATCTAAGTACCTTGCACTGTGACTAAGCAAATGGTGGTAAATCTTAGCTAACTCTATACAAGTCACTTTGTTAGGTAACTAACCATCATTTGGAGTTGGAGTTCAGAATTAAGCGGCTGATAAATTGACGGATTTGCCGGCAGCTGAAGCCGTTTAACTCCCACAGTAGCATTTAAACTTGGTGCTGGAATCAGTCCCATCATTGATGAAGCTGCCCTTTAAAAATGTCTCTATAATTAGGAAGTATTTTGTTCTAATCACACCTTTAAATTATGATCATTTGTATTTTTGAATGAAGGGGTGAGTTGTATTTTCTGAATGTTTAGATAAGCTTGTTATTTGTGGAGACAAATCTTGAATTCATTTGAAATCTGTTTAAGATTTGAGTCTGATTCAATGGTTGGGTAATGATTATATACCTCTGTACGCTGTGGGAGCGACATTGAAAACTGTTGCACGCCATTAAATATATTAGAATCATTCACTTTGTATTGTTAAAATATAAAACCAGATTTTCTTTTTGCCTGTGTGGTTGATTTTATCAAGGAATCAAATTGTATTTTGTCTGTACATTTTAAGAATGATTTACTTCTGAAAAAGAGATGTCAAATTTTATTTTAAAAACATTAAATAATTTAAGAACTGATACAACTAGCACTGAGCATTTACAGTACTAGTGAGTCCCGCCTGTAGCTGGTGTGTTTGGGATTTTTTTCATTCAACTTGGCAGCTATTGAGGTTCTTAAACATTTGAACCACAGCCACATGAGTGAAAAGACTTTCTTTAAGACTTTTAATGGCCGAATAACTGTATTTTAATCATACTTTACTTTGTGCTGTGTTATTCACCAATTTAAAAAAAAAAAAGACAGCTTTTAGAAAATGTATGAGTGGTTGGAATAAAATGCAAATTAAAGTGAAAAATGGTGACTGACTTGCAATGGCATGTACTCTACAACTTACACTTTTAATTAAATCTTTTTCTGTTGTACGACTGGCATTCTTTCATTTCATTACTTTGTTTGTTGGGAAACCAGTTCTGAGCAATTATGTTATAATATTTTGCTTTGTTCTCATCATAAAATAGATCAGTAGAGTTCATGTAAAAGCTATAGGGGCATGTTTATCTGACAACCTCAGTTGTAAAAGAGAAGTATAAAGAAAACAAAGTGTTGCAGGCATGTCAGTTTTGTGAGAGATTGTGCAATAAGGTGGAATTTTTTCTTTTTTTGATTTGGTCTTTTTGCTCTGTTGAAGTACTCACTATCATAGGCTACCAACAACACAAAGGTCTGCAACCTATTTTTAGGCTGAGTCACAACACTCGCTTGGTATTATCAACCATGGAGGAGTTTCTTCTAGGTTCGTGTTTGCCCATATCTCGATGAAACAGGTCCAATCACGCAAGTAACAGATAACGTGATTGGTTAAAGTTGGCTTCGTGCCTGGAAGTTACTCTCTATACCAGAACCCACACATCAGTTCCTGGTAAACACAAAGGCTGTTTGTGTTGTCTCTGCTTCCTTGTTAAGATACTGTTATAAATTCAACAAATGAAACAACACGGGGACTAACCGAGAGAGTTCAACAGAAAACCCACATATTAAACGTTTACTTGATGTCTCTCTGTTTTGACATTTTAGTTTTCTCACTGTGCTTTCTGTTGCAGTGTATATATGTGGAGTGTTGTCAAGGTAACATGTGCTTTTGTGTTGTTGGTTGGTTGCACTGAAGAAGCATCATAGCACTGAACTGGTCTATTTTTTTTTTAGTTTGCCTGAGTATAAGTGTATGTTGTCATAGTAAATGGTGAGAACCATATAATAATAACTGAACAAGACTGGATTTTAATTGATACGTGGTAAAGTGGTCGAATGTCTCTCTCTTTAAACCACCTTGGAGATCATCGTGACGCCAGCAAATGCACAAAAAGCAGACACACCTCACAGGGTTACTACCCAGAGGACTCTGTCAATACACCAGTGACCCACTTGTGTCTCCTCCGTCATGTGTCGAGCCTCGAGGTCCAGCCCACTACTGCCTTAAAAGAGGTGAGAGTGATTAGTTCATG